AAAAAAAATGCAAAAGGGATTTCCCCCCCACCCTCACCAAACTTAAAAAAAAGGTAAACCAAAAAGGAAAAAAAAAAAAAAAAAAAAAAAAAAAAGGGGTTTTGTAAATAAGCTGCAATGCTTACAACAATATCATAGCATTTAAAACTCTCTTGAGATAACATCACAATAAGAACAGAGACAAGAAAAACTTATGTTCCACTCTGTTTTGCAGCTACACAGTGGCACAGCTGTTTGCACTGAAAGTGCAACAGGAAACTTCACGGTCCTTCGACATGCAGTTTGCTTGATTACTTGTCTGATAGGTCGACTGGTCATCCTGCGCATAAAGTTGTGCTTTCTCTGTGTTGCTCTTTGATAGAAGAGTGGTGCAGGATGTAACCTACCTCTCACCCAAGGATCTCTTGAGATTGACACCAGCAGATTCAGATCATCAAAATTAATTCTTTACATCTCCGTTGCATGCTTCAATGCATTTTAACAGCTTGGATGTGTCTTCTATAGACAGTCATGTTTTTTTCTATAGTTTTTTTTTTTTCTTCTGAAGGCATCAAATCACAGGAAACATTGATTATATGCACTTAATGTAACATTTTGATATGGGTGATGTGGCTTTTTGCCCAGGGTGCTGCTGTCAAGGGGAGACAGAATTCTATCAGTTCTATCTATCTATCACTCCAAACAAATTAGAAGTTGCTTATTCTGTGAATCTGTTGAATAAAAAATAATAACAATGTCCCTGCAGATATTTCTGTGTTTTCTATGGAGCCTGGACAGCATTTCTGAATTTAACCATCAAGTTCAAAATCTTGCTTTTTTAAGAATAAATTCTATTCCATAGATTTTAGACCTATTAACCTTCATTCTAAATGTGAAAATAATTTCCCTTACATCTTCATTGTTCTTAATATCAATTTATGTTTTAGTTCTTAATATTTCTGATATGTTGCATGTTGAAGACGCTCATTTTTGTCATGGGAGTGAGTGTGTGTTTATGTGAGTGTGTTTATTTTTGTGTGGGGAAGCGGAAAAGGGGAAAGCACCACTGTGTATGCATGATATAGCTGCGTGGTACCAAAAGTTTTAGTAATTTCAAAAATATATATATATATTTAAATCGGACATTTTAAATGAGAAAATCACCTGAATTGACACAAATATAGCACTGAATGTTGGAAAAGTTACAAATATGCAGATGCATGAAGATAAAAAGTTTCAGGACAAACAGAATATCTGCAAAGATTTAAAAAACAGCTGACAAACTCAGAGGTTTGTTATCCGTTGTGTTTGTTTTGGGACCTGTTTTTCAGGGTCTGCTGCTCTTCTGTTTGCCTTTCGTCCTTCAGAGCGGAGCAACGGTTTTCATGACTTCTCCGTTGCAGTGGTTTTGTTTTTGCGGTTCTTGACACGGCTTAAGCCGGTCAGGCGACGGCTCGGATAGCTTCTTGGTTGATCACGCTGCCTTTGGTCTTACTCACTGACACTTCAGAAGCCAAAAGGTGTTTCGACTTGTCCCAGATGAAGCTTGAGAACGAGGAGCATACGCTATACGTCAGAAAAAGATTCTAGGATTTATGTTGTTGGAACAGCTACAACAAATAAAGCAAGTATGGATGGTGTGATGGTATTTAAGAGGTAAAATAAAATCCATTCCCATAAAGTAAAGTGTTTGGTTTAATGTGACCAGGTAGGAGGGGGAAACCAAGGTGAGACCACCTCCTACTCAAGCTCTACCTTCACTTTTTAAGCAACACCTTCTACCTGCACTGAGTGCCACAGCCACATATAGCAGCAGCAGCAGCAGCAGCAGCAGCGCCTGTAGCAAAGTGGACACATCTTTGCAGTTATACTTTTTTTTTTTTTTACCGTGGATGTTGGGATGCATGTCGCCATTCAAACAGCATCCCACTAGAAGTCACCCTGGCTCTTATCTGAGGAACATCATCAAAAATTGGACTCTTAATCAAGAGGACATGTTCAGGCCAAGCCAAATGGTGTCCACACTCTTCCCTGCAGTTTTCCATTCTCCTGCAGCTCACTTTTTCCCTGCGTTCCCAGCCAGGCTGAGCACTCCACCTCAGTTCCTGATTCCTGGGCCCTTTTTTAGCTATGAATCCCTGAGGAATTATCTTCAGCCAGAGGCTTGCAAAGAATCTTTGCTGCTGGCCACACAGGCGGTTGGGATAGGACCACTAGCTGAGAGCGAAGGTGAGTTCTACCCTAGGTTAATTTGGCCAGAAATAATTCTGCTTCTGTGGTTTTGGACTCACTGAGACAGAGCGCAGCCCAAATTGGTACCCACGGCTTTTAAGACAGTCTGTGAGAGCGAGTGTAAATGTTTACAAAAGACTGTCTAACAGCTCGTAACTAACAATCAATTATCAAGCAGTGTTAATGCGAGTCTAGTGATTGCCGCACTAATTATCCAATCTAGGGCCATTAGTTCCCCGTCACCCGTTGGCAGTTGTCTAATTGGTGCTTGTCCCGTACTTTCCAGATGAACAGAGGCCAGTGAAGCAACGGCGTGCACGAGCCAACTACAGCAGCTGGCAGCTGGAGGAGCTGGAGAAGGCTTTCAAAACAACACACTACCCAGATGTCTTCATGAGGGAGGCCCTGGCCCTCAGACTGGATCTGATTGAGGCCAGAGTTCAGGTAAGTTGTGCTCTGAATGAGTCTGCTGGAACTGTTTCACGATCAGCGTCAGGCTGCACATGAAGCTTTTTTTTTTATTTTTTTTTTTATCCCAGCTTTTTCTATTCTGTCAAAACCATGACAGAATAGATTTTATTTAATTGTTTTTTCATAGCTTGAACTTCTAAAAATGTGTGCCTCCTGCGTGACAAAATAAAGTCTTACACATTACTAACAGGGACAATATACAATTCAAAATAGCCACATTGTCCAAGCTTAGCAGTATGTTTAACTTTATTCATCCTGCACCTTCATTTTAGACAATTAAACACTTATTTTTCCTCTTGAAATAAAGTCTTGGTAACATGAGGCAAGGCAAAAATCAAAAAGGTAAAAAGTGTTTAAATGAGGCTAATAGAATCTGATCATTTTTCACTGTCGTCTTGAATGGCGTTGGACATTTTTAGTCTTTAAATTCAGCTTCCATTTTTATTTTCAATTTATACAAATTACTGCATATTTAAATAAACAATTACCAGGCTTTTAGAATAATAGAATTTCAGATTTTTTTCAAGAAATCAACTTGAGAAATTTAAAGGTTATTAAAAAAAAAAAAAAAAAAAAAAAAAAAAAATCTCATTTCCCCCCATATTTTTTTTTTTTTTTTTTTTAAAGGTTTGTTTTAAAAACCGCCGCACAAA